GAATGTAATGGAATACTATTGTGCCATAAGAAATGGTGAGCAGACAGATTTCAGAAAAACCTGGACTTAGATGAACAGATGCTAAGTGAACTGAGCAGAAACAGGAGAACATTGTACACAGTAATAGCAACATTGTGTGATGATCAACTATGATAGACTTAGCTCTTCTCAGCAATACAATGATCCAAGACAATTCTTAAAGACTCATGATGGAAAATGCTATCCATATCCAGAGAAAGAACTATGGAGTCTGAATGCAGATGGAAGCATACTATTTTCATTTTTTTTTGTCCTTTTCTTTCTCGTGATTTTCCCCTTTTGTTCTGATTCTTCTTTCACAACATGACTAATGTGGAAATATGTTTAACATGATTACACACATATAACCTGTATCAAATTGCTTGCTGTCTTAGGGAAGGAGGGAGAAAAATTCAGAACTCAAACTCTTATAAAAATGAATGTTGAAAATTATCTTTATATGTAATTGGAAAAAATAAAATACTATTAAGTGGAAATTTTTTTTTAAATTAAGTATGAGTTAGATCAAAGGCTAGAGAGGGGATAGGAAATATCTTCTGAGGGTGTGAAGATACTGTTGACTCACCAAGTTAACGTCACCTCCCTCTTTGACTTTATTCCCATAGGCACAAATGCATTCTCACCTCACCACAAGCTTTTGAGTCTTAATTAGTGCTTTGAAAACTATAGGTGAAGATGGGAATATTATTATGCAGTGTTTATCAAGGGTTCTCTAGACTGTCCTTATTTAAAGGTCATGAAGTTCTCTGAGATGGTTCAGTTCCCAGTTTCTCACACCGCATCCCAGTTTTGAGGATAATAGGTCTCTGGGATTGGGGAACACCCTCTTGAAGAACAGACTCTTCTCATTGGGAGGGAGGAAGCATTGTCTCTCTTTCCTTCAACCCATCATCCATACTGCTGCCAGCACTATCTCCCTAAACCCTGGCTTTGACAAGATCAACCCCATCAGTTTCAAATTCCTTTTGTCTGGTTATCTAGACCCACCACAATTGGGTTCCACCCTGTCTCTCCAACTTTAATGTCAGCATAAGACACTATTGCTGTCCTCTAGGAACTTTCCAATTATTGGGAGGATGCCATATGTAAATAATTATAATAAAACAAATGCTATATGAATACCGTAGTCAGTAAGTGATGAAGGAAGGGGCGACTGGGTGGCACTGTAGATGGAACTCTGGGCCTGGAGTCAGGAGGACTGGAGTTCAAATCAGACCTCAGACACTTAACACTTACTAGCTGTGAGGCCTTGGGCAAGTCACTTAACCCCATTGCCTAGCCCCACCCTACCCCCCCCAAAAAAATAAGTGACGAGGACCTAAGAAGAGAGAGACGTCATTTCTAGCCCAGCCGAAATACTCAAGCACTCTTCAAGCCTCAAGTGAAGTCTTGTCTGAACAGTTCCAGTTCTTGCTGATTGCTGTTTTTTGTATTTCAACAGGTCATTGTCTTGCTATGCACGAGTTAGTGAGGCATTGGACATAAGAGTCTGAAACCTGTTTTTGGGTACTCTCTTTGACCTTTACCAGCTATAGGACAGTGGGGCAATTCACTTAATAGCTCTGAACATTACTTGACTCATTTATTAAATGCTCTACCTACCTCACAGGGTGAGTGCTGAAAGAAGAGTGCTTGTAAACCATAAAGTACTATATAACGTGAGCTAGGGGAGTTATTATACTGAATATTCTTTAGTTGTCAATATCTCATCTCCCCAACTAGACTATAAGTTCTCTGTGACTATAAGCACGTTATACTTCTCTAAACAGGACCATTTAACACCTAACAAGGGACTGGGCATTTCACTTTGAGACTTTTTTCGGAGGAGAAATGCAGTGTGATTTCGTTGGTATAGGGCAGAGGTGTCAAACGTATAACTCACAACACAATGAGGACAGCCAGAACCCAAACCAGATTAATATGTAATTGGGGAATATTCAATAAAACAAACAAATGGATGAATTAATAAACAAATATAAACTATATATAAATATAAACTAAATATATAAATATTATTTTATTAATTATTAGTTTTAATTTTATATATTTATAAATGTATTATGTTTATTTATATACCTAAATATTTATTTATTATACACCTATAAATATATTATGTATTTAATTCTAAATATTTTTTATTATTTATATATAAATATAAACTAAATATAAACTTTTCTAAGTTAACATGCAGCCCACAGGGATTCTTGTGCAGAGCTTAGTAACCTCTGGTTCTTTTTCAGCTTAATACCGCTGGTGTAAGGAATTCCTGGTGAGGAAATTTTCTCCATTGATACCTATTGTCAACTGGTCTGTAATTTATGGTTGCCCTGAGGTAGTGATTGGTTAGATGGCTTGCCTTGGATCACAACAAATATATTCCAGAGGTAGAGCTGAACCTAGGTCTTCCTCATGCCAAGACTAGTTTTCTGTCTACTACACCACACTGCTTTTCAGTTAGATGCATAGAAGACTAGAATCAAAAAAATACCAGTACTGGAAGAAACCTTAAGAAATCATCTAGGTCAGCTCCATTTTAAAAATGGAACTGAGGCCCAGGGATATTACATGACTTTCTGAAGTTGGTGTAGAGACTTATTGGCATAAGGAGTTTTTGTTTTCTTTCCACAAAGACCAAGAGATCAGTTCAGAGAGTTCGAAAAGTTGGGTTCTGCAGTAGCTCAAATCCTAAGTTTTAAGTACAAAATATTAGGTAAGTCCTATAATAATAATACTTTTTAAATTTTTAATTTTTAGGTAATTTGGGGTCACACAGGAGTAAGTGTCAAATATTTGGTCTGAGGCTGGATTTGAACTCAGGTCCTCCTGACTTTAGGGCTGGTGATCTATCCACTGTACCACCTAGCTGCCCCAATGATACTGTTTTTAAAAAATCCTATCATTTCAAAATTCAGACTTTCCTACCTCAGTCCAAATTCTTAAGTTCGTGTCACAATTGTGAAACTACTAAAATACCATGGAAAACAACTGCCCTTTTCAATATTTTAAAAAGGACTGAATTGGAAATCAATAGCCTTCAGGAAACATTTGTTGAATTAAATTAATGTAGGGTATGGGGTAGCCCAGCAAGTCATTCTGTAGAGGCTAGGAGAAGATTGGCCCGGCTCACTACAGAATGACTGCTGGTTGCACTTTAGGGATCACACCAGACACTTCAAGTCTAGAACCCTAAGGGTGTTTGGAGAAACTTTCTTTCCCCAAGGTTGTGTTCTGCATTCCTCTGCCCTTCCCTTTTATCTGGAATTGGTAGTTTTCTTATTTTATTAACAGTAAATATTGTCCCTGCACTAACAAAAGCCCAGTGAATGAATGACTGTGAGGGGGAAGGGAGAAGAAGGAAATCGATCTCGGTCAGAGAAAGAATTCATCATGATAAGCAAGCAGGGGGAGCAACTATCTACCAAAGCTCATTGGCATGCGCGCCTGCGTGAATGGGCTCCCCTACCCTCACCGCGTCACTTTCTCTCCCCCAGGTTCTGTAGGTAAGAACATACTAAATTACAGCTGAAAAGAATCTTTAAGTCCAAGAGTTAACATTTTTTGTCACGTATCCCTTTGGGATCTGGTGCAGCTTATGGACCCCATTTCCAAATGTTTTTAAATGCATAAAATACATCACAAAGGAAACAAATTATATCGATATATACGTATATATTACACACATATACATATATATATATATATTTAAAGAATTAACGAGACCCCAGATTCAGAATTCTTGATTTAGTCCAACCCCTACTGATGCAGCAGTCTAGAGGTGCAAGGGTAGAGTAGCTAGTTGGTGTCAGAGATGGGACTCAGGTCTCAGGTCTCAGACCAGGGCTCTTTCAACTGCACTTCGTTGTTCCATGCATTATTTTAAATGAAAAAGATCCTTTAGAGGAGTATGGTGGGGGGTGTGCCCAGGGCATTAGGGACTAGGGCAGAGTGATCCTTCCCACAAATAGTCCTTGCTCTACGACTGAAGCTGCCAATGGTTGGAATGGGGAGTGGTTACCACCCCTGGCCCTGACAAACCTAAGAGAGTTTGTGATGTGAGGAAACGATTGTTTGGAACCCCTCCCCCCATAATTGTCCCTCTCCCTACCTTGTAACTTCACACAGACACGGACATACAAAGACACACAGACACAGACACAGACACACACAGACACACACAAACACACAGACACAGACACAAACACACACAGACACACAAACACACACAGACACACAGACACACAGACACAGACACACACACACACA